AGAAGAAGATTTGGTTCCTTGTGCTCCTCACACGCTAGGTTGTGAGAAGAAGAGATAAGCACTCATAGTCACTGTGTTCCTGCCTCTGTTTTTGTCCTGGTTGATGTGGAAGAGATATGGGTAAGGGAGGGGAGGGAAGAAGAGGCTTTAGTAACAACAATGATAATAGAGAGGCAGGGAAGTGAAGAGCCATAGTGAGACTTACAGTGATTAGATAGGAAGAGCTATTCTTCAAATAGCTCTTCCCTAAGCAGACAACTATTTAACAGGTTTGCTTCTAAATTATCATAGATCTTAAAGGGTTTGAAGAAGGAGCTCATTCACCCATTACAATAAAAGCTCTTGGAGGAAAAAATTAAAGAGACACATTCCAAAAAAGTGTTCAAATGCTACGTAAAAGTGCATGAAATCACGCCAAGTACTACAGTGTAAGTTCTTTATTAAATCCACCCACATAACCAGCCTTCATTAAAACAACCCCTGCCAAGTCCGGCATACGAACCTTGAACATATTCTCCCTCTGGTATTCAAAAATCTGTAATCTAAATGAATTTCATAAAACGTGCCAGTTTTAAGTATTGAGTGTAAGTATTGAGTAAAGCCATCTGCAAATAAAAAAGACAATGAGATCTAGGACAAGTCACCTCTTCTCACAGCCCTCTCCCTTGGTTTAAAATCTTTCTCCTCTTGCCAAAAGTACTGAGCAGCCAGGCTGGTCCAGGGTGCCCACGCAAAGTCATTCTCCATGGCCAAGGGGAACAATCGCCAAGACATGAGCAGACCTTTCCATGCCAAACCCATCTTGTCTGCCCAAAAAGGAGTCAAAGAAGCCAGGTTTCATCAGAAACCACATCCACATCGACAGTGCTGTCCTTGGGGGTGGATAGCCCAGGACAAGAGCAAACCCAGGTTCCTTATTTCGAGCTTCCCAGTCTCCTTACTGCCCAAACTTCTTCTCATGGTCTCTGGTTTCTGTGTTCACATTGTGCAGGTCTGGGAGGAGGCTTGCCTTGCAGCAAGACAGTCTGTTCTTCCAACTAATCTGACCCCCACGGTCCTAAATCTCGTTCTCTTCTTTAAGCTGGGCAATAAGCAGAAGAGCTTTCAATGTGTTTCATGTTACTAAGTACTTGAAAGCACCTTCTTGCTCCCACCGGACACTGTCTATACTATTACTCAACAAAGAGTCCGTATAGACTCACAAACCGGCGGGTGTTCAGAGATCTCCATTCTAATACCTGTGTAGCTACATTTTTTTTTTGAAAAATGCAAAATGCCTAAGTGATGCTTAAGGCTCTGCTTCTTCAAATTTTAAACATTAAAAGTATAATATGGCCTCCTTTGCTCCTTAACATACTGCATGGATGAAGTTGTTTACAAAGGATTATAGCTCTCTAAATTACGATCGCAAAAACTAAACTGGTGTCACACAATATTCTAACCATTTTTTTCCCACTACGACACATATCTGTAACCCTCTCAAAGATGATTTAATTTAACCTCTCATCGTTCAAAGATGCCATTTGGAAGGAGGGATGAAACTTTACATTACACAGCATTATATAACATTATGAACTATTTTAAAACCTTCCCAAAGGTTAAAATCAGGTCATGAACTGTATCTGGGACCAAATCTTACGAGGTTCTCAAAGACTCTTTTATAGATCATTTAGGAAGATTAAAGAAACCCAGTCTGCCCATGAGAGTCGGGAGCCAATGGAAGTTGTCATTGAACATGAAAAGAGCCCCTTATTTTATACTTTCCAGCTATGGAGTCTCTCTCCATCAACCATTTAACTTTTAAAATGTACTTCCTTAATTTTATTAGGAGATAATTTTATTATTATTTTTACTTATGAATGTTATCAAGAGTCATACAGAGACATGGAAATAGCAGCATCAAGATCCTTTTCAGTACAGAGACAGTCCAGACCTGTTAATAGCACAGAGTGAAACTAGAATGTCAGGCAAAGGAGAAACCAACAGCCAGGGCTGGCCCAGGGATGCCCAAGTCAACTCTCTCAAGGCCTGGAGAGTAGCCAGGGGCATATACCATCCTTTCTGCTCTAACTAATCTTGTTAACTAAATAAGAATGAGGAGGAAGCCAGGCCTCACCAGGAATCATCCTCCGGTCCACAGGGTTGTCCTTGAGGAGGGAGGGCCCAGGACAAAGAGTAAGAAGACCCTCTTCTCAGAAACAAGCTGCCCTGATGGCCTGGGTGGCACTGAACATGCCACAGGGCACGGTGAATGTCTCTGAAATGAGTGAAAATATTTACAGGTCTCTGACAAAGGAGTTCCTGTTTATAAATTCTAAAAAGCCAGAATGCAAACCTGAACTATTAAGATTATCCATGGACAGAGTAGAGATAAGATGTCTCAGGGATGGGGGAAAGGAATGAAATGGAAGATGATTGAAGGAGACTAGTTAGATGGGATTGGACTAGTGAAGTGCAGAAGTCTGAAACTGCTATATGTGGATGGGAAGTGAGTACCAGTCACCTCTAGAAAATAGAGCTCCCCAACTCTCCACCCAGAAATAGCACTTGTTTTGACAGAGTTTTGACTGCTTTGTGGGTAGGGGGGAGCTTATCTCAATCAGCTGTTAATGAGCAGCCCTTGGCCCAAGTTAAAATTCTCCATGGAAAAAAATCGAGATTATCAGAGAAGGCACCTACTGTCAATGGCATTCAAGAGACTGTGGGACTCCCACATTTATATGTCTTTTCTTTTTGTGTGTGACGCTTTCTTTGGATTCTCTGTATTCCTTCTATAAGTGAAACCATCTGATATTTTCCTTTTACCTTCTGCTTATTTCACTGAGCATAAAGAAAAAGACAAAACCCGAGGGCAAACGATACATCAGAGGCATGCAGGAGAGGGGGAGGGAGAGAGCTCAAAAATGGGAAGAACACAAGTGGGCGCAGTGACGGTTCACAGGGGATTGGTGGTGGGAGGTTTATGGGAACTACACATGAGCAGAGAAATCAAATATTTTCCAAAATGAGCAATAATGTATGGAAATAAAAAAGCCAGTGATCAATAAAAACAGACAAAAAGTCATCTAGCTAAATTTCTGCTGTGATGAACTGACTCATCTGATGATTCTCAAGGAGGAGTCTAGGCAAAACACAACTTGGTTATACATAGTGACTGCTCTCAACCAGGCACCACTCTCAGCCAGAGGAGACTGGGGGTGACGTGACCACTGACGAGCTGAGTGCAGCGTGTCCTGCACTGTTGTACGAGTGTCTTACCTATTGTCTAGCCTGATTCTCATATAGCCCTATGAGGCAGGTATTAATTATTAGTTCCATTTGACAGTTTACGAAACATAGGCACAAATTTAGAATCTTAAATGGGGTCTGGCAAATGATGGCCTTTAAGTCAAATCCAGCCCTAAAGTTTTGCTGGAATTTCCATGCCTGTTCCTTTACATAAAGTCTCCAGTCCTAAAAGTCTAAAATATTTACTAGCTGGCCTTTTCTAAAAAAATTTCCATCAACCCCTAGTGTAAAGCAGGAAGAATGTGTGGATAAAGAATGAAAGGCCAGTGCACTCTGGAGCGCTCCACAGTAGACCCTCTACTAAGACATCGGAAAAAAATTCTCTTGATCAGTTTCTTTCACTTATATCTTATATTCTTCTACTCAGGACCTATCCATCAGCCTCAGAAAAGGCTCCTGGAATGCCAGTTTGGTGACTAATCTTTCAGTGTTGTGAGTTTTGATTAGGTGGCAAATTTTCCAGAAAGAAAGAAAAAAGGATAGAGCAAAGAAGCTTTGACAACCCCAAGATCCCTGAGAGGTTGTAAACTTTTTGGCAGTTTTACAGGTATTTCTCCTCAAGTACAGATGACATCATTGTTGAAATAAAAAAAGAAAACAATTGGCCCGATTATTCTGCATTTGGTATCACATATTGTTTTGGTTGAGCATCAATTGATCAGTCTATTTTTACTGGGAAGTTAGGTCATCGCTTGCTATTTTTAGAAGACAGTGTCCAATTTATGGAACTCAACACACACATTCAAGTCTCAGAATTTGTTCTAAAGCCATAAGAATGTCTGTACTTGGTCGAGAATGTGCCCGACGGCACTTAGTCCGTGATGATTTGGAACATATTTTAGACTCGAGGTCTAAGACAGGAAGGAGACACTAACCAATGAAAGCAGTAAAGTGAGGGTAGCTTTAAAATTCATCGGTTTGCTTTTGAAATATTAATATTTTAATCGTTAATTGAAATGGGTTACATCTGAGCGACTCTGGTAATTCTCATTTGATCCTTTAAAAGCTATCTATAAATCATAGTCAAGTTCATAATTGAATTTCCAGAGCATGTGACCTGGCACGGGGCTCAGCTCAATTTGCATGGAGTCAAATAATTTCTGTAAACGCTTTACTACAAAAGTGAACAGAAGCTCAAGGCCTGGAACAAGACAAAGCCTGAGGATTTTCTCTGCCTTTTACCACCTTCCCCAAGACACTAACCCATGGGGGCATCTCCCAGAACAGTGATTCCTGAACTGCCCTGCACTACAGGGTCACCTGAGGTCTTCCACAACCCACCTCTGAAGGCAGGACAAAGGACCAGCGCTGGGTGCTCGCTACCTAGCACCAACCCAGAAGACAGTAGCGATTAAGGTGAAGGTAGCCTGACGCTCATCAGGACACGCCCCCACGCCTGTCAATCAGGAGACCCAAATCCTTGCTCCCTCCTCACTGGGCTCCACTATTCTGAGATCTTTGCTGCAAGGAACACAACACAGAGATGCACACACCGGGACCATCATTCTCACTTCTCGCACGTTATCAATTCATGCAGTCAGGAAGAGGATTTGAACACACTGAGAATGGCCCGAGGACTTTTCTGAAGGTTTGTTTAAATTTCCCCATCGCTTCACCTCAGAGACAACGCGCCAGGGACACCTGGCCGGACCCTTTACTTGGCCAGCACGTTTATTCCTCGTGACAAACCTTGACAAACCAGTGTGCCTTACCTCGACGATGCTTTTCAAATCTTGCACGTAAGTCCTTTCAGTGTCCAGAATTTCCTGAACAACTCTATCCACATAGAGGAGCTTGGGGCTGGCGCCCGAGTCGGCGCTGGCTCTGTCGGCCGCGTTGGCTTCCATCCTGCGCGGCGCCCGGGGCTGCCTCGAGCCAGCCTGGTCCTCAGTTTGCTGCCCGGAAGCGGGACTCTCTCTCTGCGGCTCGCTGCTGCAGAACGGCCTGGCGGGAATCAGCTCCAGCTTGATGGCTCCTGTTTCCTTATCCTGGTGAAACAGGCCCAAGTGGCTGTTAGAAACCAAGGTCATTCTGCTGCCGAAGGAGCCGTGGCTGTCCCGGGAAGAGGCTGACGACGACGTGGAGCCGAAGCTGACCGGGCGGTCGCTGTCGGAGAGCTCCATGGCCCTGGGTTCCTGGACGCGGGCCGGCCCGGCTGTGGTCCTGGGACACTGTGCGTCTGCTACAGCTGAGGGCAGTTGGAGCCGCAAGGGGGACGCATCTGTAGGCATTAAGGAAAGCGCAAGGTGAGCAAGTGTTTGCAAATTCCAGCCAAGCGTGGGCTTCAGGGAGGTGTGAACCTCGCCCACCCAAAGTAGGAGGCAGTGCGAGAGGCCCTGGCCCGCTCAGCTGCAAAACTGGCCTTAGCGTTCAGACAGCAGCAGCACCGGCAGCAGGCGCGTGCCGCCTGCAGAGCTCCGCAGCTCCCACGAACTTAAGCGGGCTGGTCCCCGAGCCACCAGAGCCGTCTGTGCACACTCAGCGAGGTCTGGGAAGCTCTGCACCTTCGCCTCAAATGACTAAAGCAGCACCATGGTCCAGATGCCCTGCACAGAAGGCCCAGTGGCCAGGGCACAGGATGGGAAGTGTAACATGCACACAAGTGATTCTCATGGACCTAAACACACCCGCCGGATTCTTAGGGAATTCTGCGTTCCAGAGTTTAGGGTTCTAGGCTTTAAGTAGGCTGCCATAACCCCCATACAATTTTAAGCTGCCTGGAACCACCACTCTCTAAAGAATGCAGACAAGTTGACGTTTTATTTGTATCCTGCATGAAAGAAAATACTGCATGGACACTAATTGCCTATTAGTGGGCAAGAAAATAAAGCCAGTAACTATTAAGACCCACACCTCTGTTCAAATCTCCCCCTCACCACATTTCTCTAAATCCTTGTAGAAAGGTGACATTGCACTGATCTATACCGAGTTACAGTCTTCCCAGATTGGATTGACTGTAATAATCCACAGTAAAGCCAGATCATATAGCAGTGTAATCATACAGTTACATAATAAATTCTGCAAGAACTCAGGAGAAAAAAAGATGCATTTTCAAAGAACTGGAGCTACCAATAAGAGACAATCTGCAAAGTCAAAAGGTCAATTTCTACCCACAACATTTAAATCTTGAATCCAAAAAGGCCCCATGAACTTTGATGGTTTTAAAACTTTCAGAGGGTACAACTGTCTTTATTTTTAAGAATGAAACAACATCCCTCTCTCATATGGATAATGACATGCCAGGTTTATAGAAAATAAAAAAGTTTCACAATTAAGAGTGTGACTAGTAAAAATATTTGCTTTCTTTCAGCAAGTCACCACCAAAATCCATGTTTACCAGGTTTGGTTAGAAGAACAGAAGTGTAACTTACATTTGGAAGGTTGTAATAAGACAAACACAGTAACGTAAAAATAGATTGATGATCATTTTTCAAAAGAATCATGGATTTGGTTTGACTCTATATTAAATCTCATCCAACAGCTGGAACCAATATTTGTAGAATGTTAAAAATCCATCAAGCCAATATCTTGGTGTTTTTGAGGTAGTTTATATTCATGGCAAGTATTAATGCAAAGTTATAATAAACATATTAAAATTATGAATATGAAATAATGGAAATAACTTGGGTCAACAAGAAGGAATGGTAAGAAATGTGTAGGAAATGAGTAATTTATCAGCATAACCACTACCACATGGCTTACGTTTGCCACAAATTTTTAAAGCTTTTGCAATATTCTTTCGGCTTGCTCTATAACAACTTTATGGCCTATAAAACATGGATTGGTTATAGTAGTTAAAGTGCACTTGCTCTAAAAAGCCTGATCCAACTTGAGTGTGGCAAAAATCCAAGAAGCAGCCAGGCATTTTAGGATGCTTGCAGCAAGGGACGCCCACTCTTACTTGGGACTGGCGCTAAGAATGTCCTGGGCAGTTGAAAGTAGGAGCAGACACAACATGTGTTCCCCTTTGGCCTCCACCGTAACTATTACCATGAGGCTGATCTCACTTTCAGAAATAGGCATTCATTAGGGAAGTCTACGAGGATTCTTTAAGATCCAATGAGGCTGTGAGTTAGGACTGAACCTAACTAAGATGGATATATTCTATATGAGAGCCAGCACCTCTGGAAGGGTCTAGACCAACTTACCCCCCTATATCTGGGTACAATGGTCTCTAAGGGAAGTTCTGATTTTTTTTTTTGACTGGACAAGACCCAGTCTGCTTTCCAGTATACAAAGCTGTACTTAACCCAGCACTCTATAGCTCTTGGCAAATATTCACTAACAGGACTAGTGAAAACGAACACACTAGAGAGACTTGTTTCTTTTCTTTTCTTTCCTTACTTTCATTCCAAACTTAGACAGCCATATGGGATGAGTGAGGAATGGAACAATGAAAGGATGTCTGAGAGGAGTCCATGCTGACGGCTGGGGATGATGTGTCTTGTATATTCTCAAGAGCAGAAGTGAGACATGAATGGGAAGCCAGCGGGGGACCTCTCCATGGGTGAATCTCCAGCAGCAAGATTCCAAGACCAGGCCATGTATTCTAGGCTGCTGGGAACAGCCTATTCTCTAGACATCCAACAGGCACTTTATAAATAGAGTATTTGATATATTTTGTGTCTGTAGTATTTAGCCAAGCTCACTGCGCCAACTGAACACCTTCCAAAATTACCAACAGACGTGAAACATTGCAAGCTCGATCACATAATAGCACATAATATGAGACCACATTTGCTACTGTTGATTCATTGCTTAGAAGATAATTACAGTTTTCTCACATAAGGAAATGGACCTCATAAAGACTGTCTCGTCTTATTCTCACCTTCCTCAAAATAATTTAAGATTTTCACCCTGTCTGGTTTATATTTACTAACACAACTCATCAATTATTAGTATTTATCTCTACAGGTTTACTGTTTCACACAGCACATATGGAGATTGAACACCTGGGTACAGCTAGTCTCAAGTGAGATGCATGATAAATGTACAAGGTACATCAGATTTCAGAGATTCATTATGAAACAAAACTGTGTTAGCATTTTTATGTTAATGACATGTTGAAATAATATTTTGGAATAGTGGGTTGAATAAATATCTTCTTAAAATTATTTTCTCTGGTTTAATTTTACTTTCTAAAATGTGGCTACAGAACATGATAAATTTTGCATGTGACTTGCACTATAATTTAGTTGGACAATGATGATCTAGAAATCTTCTAAGTAATTATGTTAATCTCTAAGGTTTCAGTTTACTTCCATTTTTAATCTTTGTCCAAATAATAGTGAATAGAGAGGTGTGTACAATTTGAGGATTATCTTTTTTTTTTAATACTCTGTTCACTAACATATATTGTTATGAGTTACTGAAAACAGAATTGGGGGAAAATTGCTGTGTCTCAATATTGGGGTAACTGATTTCCCACGATATAATGAAACACTCAGTTTTAGAAAACTAAAAAGCAACAAATCAAGTGAAAGATTACAGCAAGCTAAGTTAACATTTGGGCAATATACTGCTTTGTTTTCCTTCCTTTCTTATAACCTCTGTCTCTTTCTTACCAGATCCCAAACACAGCTTCTGAGAACTTGCAAGCGATGCTAATGGCCCACATCAGTGGATCTTGTGACCATCAATATCCTGAAACGGCTGGTTGTGTCTACCTTGAAGATCTCGGTCCATCTGACTCTTGGAAACCTGGAGATGGGGTGGAGGAGGCCCGCCAGACACTTGGTGCCTGATCAAGTATCGTAACTGAAGGTGTTTTCAGTCTAAAGTCATAAAAATGGGCCCTCCGAGGCGGCACAACTGGTTAAAGCGCAGTACTGTGAAGCTGGCTGCAGCTGTTTCAGTACGAGTTTGATCCTGGCCAGGGAGGAGATCCACATGGCACAGCAGACCTCTTCTGACCACCCGCTGCTCCCCTGGGCAGTGTGTTTTGCTAATCTGCCAGTTCTGCTCCCCACTCTGTCTCTGGTGAATCCTCTCACTGCCCCTGCACCTCTGGCCTGTACCCCAGCTCTGTATGCATAAATAAACAAATCTTTTTTTTTTTTAAAGCCATTGAAAAAACCCTATTCCTTCTTGTGTCACCATCTATCCCCCCCTCCCCCCAAAAAAAGTGCTCTGCAGCTCTTCCAGAGACAGCCTTTCACACATCTCCTTCAGGACCAGCTTGCCTCTATTTTTTTTTCTAGGTGAAAGAGCTCTCATTCCTTGTCTCTTCTTTGTTTGCTCTTCAAACTTCCATTATTCCAATTGCTCTCTTTTGGAATGTCACCACCAGAATCAAAAGCAACCCTTTTGGCTCACTCTTGTCTCTCAGGCTGGTCTGGGGTTGAAGCAGAACTTTCCATGGCAAGGAAAGCCCAAGATTCCTGTGACCATGTTTACATGTCCGAGGGGAACTTGGGCTCCCTGCCCCGCTCCGCTCCGGGGAGAGTGCTCCTAGGCAAGGCTCCATTCTGCACTGGCCAGGGCTGGGAGTGATGGGGATTTCCAAATTCTGCTCATTGTTATTCTAGACTTCAAATAGCTCGTCTGAGTTCCTTGGCAGGACAATCATGGAAATCAAGAGAATGTCTTGTGCTCAAGACAAATGAATAACGAAAATCATGTAGTTCCTTATTACACTGTGAGCTACTCAAAGAAGCCAGCAAGAGACTGAGTACCAGCAGGAGATTTTTCTATCAGCTAGCAGAGCTCATTAACACAGAGCCAGTCTCTTGTTGAGCCTCAAAGTTGTAAACAACTGATTTCATGGTTAAAAACATTAAGTCAATTTATATAGTATTGTCAAACACAATTTATGACATTTGTATGACAAAGGCAACAGCAGGTATTTGAGAAGCAGCTTCCTTCTCCTGCACACCTCCTGGACATACAGCTGGATAAGCCACCAGATAGCAGCAGGGATTGTTACTTCTTGGTTTTCGAAAATAACGGACGTGGGGGCCTCCCTCGTGGCACAAGGGGCTAACTAAGCACAGCACTAGGAAGCTATGTGGCAGCCACTGCAGCACGAGTTCCATCCCCAGCCAGGCAGCTGACCCACATGGCTCAGCAGACCTCTCCATCTCCGCTCAGCAGTGTATTTCAGGGGATCCACCTGTTCTGCTCCTCACTCTGTCTCTGGTTATTCTTTTCACCCCTTCCTCACCTCTGGCCTGAACCCCAGTTCTTGTATGCATAAATAAATAAATCTGAAAAAAAAAAAAA